TTTTTTGGAATCCCCTGCTCAATTAGAATATTATACAGTTTCTGGCGGTCAATAGAATCGTAAGCCTTTTTAAAATCTATATACATCTGGTAAACAATACCGTTATACTCCAATTTTTTCTCTAATATTTGCCGTAAAGAAAATATTTGATCAATAGTCGAACGATTCCGTCTAAATCCGCATTGGTAGTCTCTGATAATTTCCTCGGCGTATTCCGTGATTCGACTGGTTAAGATTGAAGTGAATATTTTATAACATACCGGAAGGAGTGAAATTCCTCGATAATTATTACAATCCGTCCTCGGACCCTTTTTGTGAATCAGAATAAGAATAGATTCATTCCATTCTTCAGGTAATTTCTCGTTCACCCAGATCTTTTTAACCAACCGATGTATTTTAGTAACTCCAGCTTCCCCGCATGCCTTAATTAGTTCAGTAGGAATATTATCGATTCCCGCTGCTTTATATGATTTTAATTTTCCGATAGCTACTTCAACTTCCTCTTTACTTGGTCCTTCTATTAACGGTTCAGCACTCTGGTACTCAGAAGGAGGACACAGATCATAATTTCCCGTATTTAAAATATTGTCAAAGTGGTCCTTAAACTTATTCAATATGTCAACCGGATCGGCCAGAATATTGTTATTAACATCCCTAATTCCAGACGTTACGGGCCCTACATATTTACGTGATCTGTTTATACCTTTGTACATGTCTCTTACGTTATTTTCGATTCTATTAGTTTCTATCATTCAATATATACATAAAATAAAAATGAATGAAGGTAATTAAAGAAAAAAAATATAGTAAAAAAATAAAATAAATAAAAAACAACAGAATATATATATAAAAGATTTAATAAATAAATAAAATTCTTCTAAAGCTCATTCACACCTTTATACAATATTTATATTTGCCCAAGAGACTCTGAGCCAGGCTTTGTCTTCCACGTGTGGAGACAGGAGGTTTCAGAGCTTCTCTTCCAGCCGAGTCACTGGACTGGAAGCCAGTGGAGACTGAGAGAGGGCACTTGAGATACTAATATCCAGAAATTGAGTGGAGAAGCTGGCCATTGCCAGGACTCCATTAACATATTTACAAAAGGTCTGGAGCCCACTGCCGTTTCAACCCCCGGGGAGGATTATAGGGATGGTTGGAGCTAGACTGCACAGCAAGTTTAGATAAAAACTAAACTTTATTTTTAAAAAAAATTAGAAGAAAAAATAAATGGTCCCAATTACTTTTCAAAATTGATGTATTACAAAGACAAGTCAGAATCCTCTATTATACATGACGTGCATTTACAAGTGCAATGCTCATAGCACATCTGTTTAGAACAATCTACACACGTATTTTTTTTTTTTTATGGATCTAAGAGAACATACATCTTCACTTCACATTTGGCAAGTTTGTTCGGGATATAGACATGGAACTTGCAGTGCAGCTTTGTAGATTGAACTAGAGGATTGGGATGGTGAATAAGATTCTGGTGAAATTTTGAAAACCGGGATGGGATCTTGAAAAATTGGTTCAGATTTGTTTCTAGTGTCTTTTAAAATTTCAATACGAATTCGTTTCAAAATAAAAAAATATAAATGTTTAGATTTTTTTTTTTATTCCATTTACTAAAGCATAACTCCTCAGAATCATCTAATTCAACATTACTATAACTGTTGGAAAGCTGAATTATTGCTCTTTGAAATCATATCAATAACTATTAAATTTTATGCCTGAATTAGCTATAAATAAAGAAAAACTATTTTATTTTAAATCTCCACTAGCTGTACCCGGTCACGCATTGCTGTGGCTCATTCTGGTTAAATAAAAAAAGAAGTAGAAAAGAAATTAGATATTTCTAATATATTTTATGTAACAATACTTGTGAATATGCGATATTCTTTGTTGTTCCATTCTTTGTATAGATATAGAGATTGTCTGGTTTTCTAACTCTAGAATTTGAAACATATAATTGTCTATATAAGAAGAAATCAGTCTCTAAATATTCCACAAAAATTTAATAAATGTTTAAAGCATTATATCTCAGCACCAAATCATCCAATTTTAGTGATTTTTTTTTTTTTATTTGCTGGGAATCAAAGAAGCTTTCAAACAATGATGGGTATAATCAAACAAAAATAGTGCACTTTATGAGTTATTTGAGGCTTGACGAAAATTTGAGATGAAATTATTTTATTTTTCAATTGCAATGAAAATTCATATTTGAGGGTTTGTCTAAATGTGAAATAAGAATCTCAACTCTGTTCCTAATTAAAAAAATATTTGAATCCACTTCCCTCCATTGGCCGGTACAAATTGTTTCGTTTCGGAGAAAACTCTTTTTGATTTCAATGATTTCTTTTATCATTTTGTAGGAAATGAAGAAAGCTTTCAAATAATGATGGGTATAATAAAAAAAATATCGTGTACTTTTTGAGTTATTCATAAATATAGTTTTGAACCCATTGTAACTTTTTTTTCATATTCTTTTCAGGGAAGGATGTTGTATACATAAATTAAAAGAGCTTCAAAGAAAAAACTTTAGCCAAGTTTAATTAAAATCGTTACAGCCGTTTAGGCGCTAAAGTCTATAGCGACACAGGTTTTTGGGCCGCCATTCCAAAACGAAAGACCAGAGAGTGATTAAATGTATATCAAAACACTCCTTAATGCGATAGAAACATTATGTCAATATTTCAAAGCGATTGGAGAAGAAGTTTCAGAGATTAGCGGTTTTGAACAAATGAACATTTACGTTTTTATTAATATAGATTATTAATTTATAGTGGTCTGATGTATGCCATATCTTGCAGTTTATAGAGTCCGAAAAATCTCTACTAATTTTTTTATGGAGTCATGTTGAAGTTATCACAATTTTTTGTATTTAAAAAAAAATCTTAACCTAGGCAGAAGGATTGAACAAAATATTTTTATTTTTCAACTGCTTTGAAAATTCATATTGAAAATTTTTGAGGAGTGAATTATAAATCTTAAATGTCTTTTGACTTTAAAAAATATTTTAATTCACTTTCCTCCTAGTGTCAGTACAAAGTTTTTCAATATTGTACTCATCATATAGCCAAGTATATATATATTTTTTTTTCATAACTGAATGGGGATCTACAGTTAGACTACATTCACAAAATATGATATGCTACACCGATTAAGTTCAAAAATAAGAATACTGCATGTAATGTAGATAATATATAATATATATACATATATACATTAGGACTTGGAAACACATCAAATATTTTTTTAGGAATAAACAAGTGGGACATTAATTTTTCACACCTCGAAATGCCCTTAATCCTTTAATCTATAGCCGCCACAACTGAATGTGCCCCTGTTGCTTCTAACGGCTATAGTCAGCGTACCCCATTCCTACACTCAGTGCTAACCTCGGCTATAGACGTTCCACTGCTTTTCTTTCCATTTACTAATGTCAAGTATAATCACCGCAACCTTGCTACATTCTACTGGTTTCCTAGTAAAACAAAGGTTCTAACTAGAGCTTACAGATGGCGTCGAAATTTATTTTGGAGCATTTTTTGAAGAATTCATGATGAGTGACCCGCTATGGCCTTTTTCTGGCTATCTCGATCATTTTTATTCTCGTTTTTGCTTTCTGTATGAAACATATGTTCAATTGCTCTGAGTTTATTAAAATATTATTTATTTTAGTCTAGTTATTTTGGTTAGAAATTAGATCAAATAAGATTAGTTTTGTTAGCTACGTGGCCATACAGAATTAATTATTTAAGTTATTTTTTAGTTAAAAGTTAGTCAGCAACATAGAACAACTATGTTAAGAAGAAACACAATTGAGATCTGGGTATTTTTCGTCTAGCGGGCCGGCACTGACTGCTATCTGCCAATGTTTATAACCTGAACACTGATAATTCCCATAATGTATTGATAAGCCTTCTCCTACTTCATATCTTCGAATTATTGTATTAAATTCGTATTATTGAAAGTGTAAACAAATGTAATAACAAAAATAATACTTTTATTTTACGACACATATATCAATGAAATAATAGAAAAAACACTTGAAGAACATATGTAGATATAAAATATGAAAATGAAATAATAAAAAAACATTTAAAGAACATATTTACATAGAAAAAAAAAATATCAACACTATAAACAACATATGTACAATTTATTTTCACTTTGTCTTATTTATTTTGGAAGGCAAAATTGTTTTATGCTATTTAAAATAGCGAGGAACGGGTCCTCTTCTCTGTGAACCCGCCGCCACAAAAATTCACACAATTTCACGTCTGCAAGTATCCCAACATTTTGAAAATATTGAATTGCCTGTTCTTCTGAAGACGGCAAATCCCATATTCTAAGAAGATCCATAATATGACGAAAATAAACGGAAACAAAAATTAAAAATAAACACAAAGGGGCCACAAACTAAAAAAAAAAGAAAAATAAACGCAAACGGGCCAAAAGTAAAGAATTTGTAATAAGGGAATAACTGAAAACTAAACAATACAATAACTCAAAGGTTTGGTAGGATAAGAAGAGGGAGGTTATGTGACGTGACGTTAGATAAGATAGATAAGAAGTGAGGTTTCGTGCCGGCCCGCTAGACAAAAAGTACCGAGATTTGTATTTTGCACCTTGAAAATCCTTGCATACAAATTTTCAAACTATTTGGAAAATAAAAATATTTTGGTAAAACTTTTCGCTCAAGCTACAGGACTTTGATTTCTTTCGAAAATAAAAAAATTGTAAACACCACCCATCCGTAGGAAACATAGTAGGGATTTAGGGTCCAATAAACTACTCCATGAAAATATAACTGAGATCCTAACATATAAAATGGGACCAGATACACATTGTTAATTGGTATCAAATTATTCTTTTTTTTTTTTCAAATTAAAGTTGTGGAAGTGTGATAACTAGTATAAATAAAGTTGCATGTATTTATAAAGTTCACCTGAAAAATCTAAATCAATTTAAATTAATTATTTTTGGTTAATATTTACCTCCATACGAGAAAGAGCCTTAGACAGCACCGGCAGCATATGGTTCGAATCTGAAGCAACGACTAATGACTTAATCGTACCAAGCGATCTTGCATGCCTTTTAATTTGTCTTATAATTATATCTTCACTCGGAAGACACATTTCTTTGGTAGCCTTTTGCTTTCCAGAATAGCCGACACATTGGGGTGCAGCAAACAGGAGAGGAGATTTCTCCACATGCTCACAAGCACGAACCTAAAACCATCAAGAGAAAAATCATTATATATATATATTTAAAGACTTGAGTAAAAAAGGACGAAAGAGTAGGATTCTAAAGAAATTAGAAAATTATTATTAATATAATTTCCTAATTTAAATAAATAAAACACAATACTATCTCCATAATCCAAACTAACTGCTAAGAAGAGGTGATTAGGAAAAAGAAAATTTTACGAACAGATTAAATCTGCACTAGAAAATATTGATTTTTTTTTTAAATATTCTGCAACTTTTGTAGGACCTTCTTTACTTTTTCATCTCTCGGAAACTGTTTGGAAAACTATTAGCCCTGGAGCCAGGGCGCTAAAAATCGACCTCATCGTAGGCGAAGGTTTGATTGCAAATTACGAAAGTGGGTGTTATTCTGAATAAAAAGAACCTTGTCTGATGTTCCAGAGTCGCTGCTTTCAAAAACGGTGGCTGATTTAAAGAATATTAGGCCAGTAATTTGAAGAAATCAATAAAATAAAATTGTTAATGCGGGCCACCAAGGGAAAACTTTTTACAGTCAAAAAAGTCAGATTTTTGCGATATTTTTTTTTGTTTTTTCACCTATAACTTCTAAACGATGCATCAAAGCTAAAAATGTACTCTTTGACTCCTCGAATGACCTGATGTTGGTCACCTCGAATGACTACCAGTCTCTCTGTACCTTTTTATGGTCCTTGAAATGGAATAATAGTGAATCCCAAGGCTATTAATGATGTAGCGCAATGATTTGCCTTCTTCAGAGAGAGATGATTCTGACCGAATGATTCGTGACTTAAATGATTCATTGTGAATAAAATTAATTTTTATAAGTAGACTAAAGAGAAAAGAGAGAACAGACTTGAGACAAATGAAAGATAAACATGGACTGAAAGGAAATTTGAAACGAATAAACCAAAATTCCATCGTTTGTTGGTAAACAGTGAATAACAATTATGTGTCTAATCCCTAATGTCTCTCATTGAATATATAATAATAGTACTATAAATGTAAACAAAATATGGATAAAGGTTAAAACCAAGAAAATCTCGAGAATTATGGGTGTTGCAATACTTTTGACGGGTAGTCTATATAATAAGAGGCAGTGTTACGATCATGAAAAATTTTGAATCCGAGTTTTCAACAGAAATAGATTTTTTAAGGTCTCCTGATTCCAAGTAGTATACACATGAAGTAAACCTCAGAATAACTTTTTCTGCATGTTTACCTTAACAAATTAGGCCTAGTTTTAACAGACCCATTAAAGTTAAGTGTGATAATGACCATATTTAATACACAAATGTATTACACAATAGTTGCATGAATAACCCTAAATGTCATAAGATGATAATATCAAATGTGATTTCATACAGCTACACTAGCTTCAATTAGCTACACTAGGACTGCAGCTGGTAAAGCTTAAGTAAAGGAGGAGGAATTTATTAACTACTATCTATTAAATAAATAGATAGATATTTAAGATAAATATGTATCTAAACTTAAAAAGTCCACAATGATGAGAACCATGAGAATTTATATCCTCACTGAGGAGGAATTTCTATGGTTAGTGAGTGAGGAGAACTTCCTGTGGTTCAAGGAATTCATTTATGGATGGACCAGCCCACTTCAAGGTCATGATGGCCGAGAGTTGGAGCGTTGCCCATTGCAGCATTCTTGTGTCAAGAGTTGACTTTTATTTCATGGCAGACCCTTGGTTTGGTTGTATCTCTAGAACAACCCTCCTCTCCTCCCCCCATGCCAGAAATGGTGCCTCCAAATTGGAATACAAAGAAGAAAAACAGCACTGAGAAGACTGTCGGATTCTGGAAACTCAGGATAATTGATAGAACCTAGCAGAGATTGTCAAACTTGCTGAAGTGGATTTTGCGCAGGTATGCATAACATCCCACTTCGGCAAACACCCATATTGTCCAGAAGGCAGGGAAGGGAGCAAAATAAAATAAAATTTACTGCTCTTAGTTATTTGGCAATAATTACTTCCAATTAGCAACAATTGAATATATTTCTTGAATTATCAAAGATACATGTTTATAGGTTTACGTTTCAGGATATGTACTCCCATCTTCAGAACCACAATCCCAATGATCTTCTGGATGCAAGGCTAAACAATTTTTTTAGTCAAAATATAGTGCATGCTACAATACATGTCAGAATTTTGTTGTTACAATAAATTTGTAATTACCTTAAAAATAATGTGCTCCATTGTCAGTTTCTAGTTCATGTTATAAAAATCTATGCATACAAACATCTAGAGCAACATCTTGCTTTTACATCAATAATTGGCTGTCTGCCATAGTGAAATACAATTGACCTTTGGATCTGACTGTTTTATCTATTTTTATACTATTGATGTTAATGTTTATTTTATGTATCTGCAATTTCATTTCTATTAAATTTTTTTTTTTTTTTTTTTTTTTTTTTTATTGGTGATATTTACAACTGTATTACAAGTAAAAATACATTCAGTAAATGTGAACAAAGGAATAAAATAGCATGAAATCACATGTTGAGAAACTACCCATTGGTAGCACTCTAAAAATGTATTTACAAAAGGAGATCTCGAGGCCATCTTCTTTTCAGACGCCTCTGAGGGTTGTCAGGGATCGAAGAGGAAGCAAGGTTAGAAACGAGAGGGTTTGGATGGTTCTGAAGTTTGTTATGGAAGGATAGGTATCTGGATTGGGCCAAGTCGGAAACATAAGGAACATTAAGGTCGTTATGGATGATTTTGTTTGTGACAAAGTAAGGAGCAGTGAGGATTTTACGAAGGATTTTGGATTGTAAGGATTGAATACGAGAGGAATTCGATGGCTTAGTGGAGCCCCAGAGCTCAACTCCGTAAGTCCAAATAGGTCTTATTGTAGTCATGTATATGAGTCTTTTGTAATTGACTGGGAGGTTAGAGCGTTTATCTAGTAAGTGCTGGAGTAGTCGGAAACGTCGAGCTGTTTCTTGTCGTTTCAGTCTGGTATGAGGATTCCAAGTTAGACGTTTGTCTAAGTGGAGTCCAAGATATCGAATTTGTTCAACAGGAATAAGTGGGGTATTATTAAAGGATACTGTAGGACAAGAGGACATAGGTTTACGACGAAGGGTAAAGGTGATTTGATGGGATTTATTGGAATTTATTTTTATTCTCCAGTTTTGACACCATTCTTCAAGGTTTGTGATGTGTGATTGAAGGGTTTGGGATGCAATTGTTGGGTCGTTATTAACTGATAGGACACATGTATCATCGGCGTACGTGGTAATGACTGTGTTAGGATGGGTTGGGATATCAGCTGTATAAACTGTGTAAAGGATAGGACCTAGGATACTACCTTGAGGAACACCAGCGGACTGGGAAAAAAGGGATGAATAGGCATTATTATGATTTACTTTGAAGGATCTATCAGTAAGATAGGAACGGATAATGAGGAAGTATGTAGGGTGTAGGAATTTACGGAGTTTGTAAAGCAGTCCTGGGTGCCAGACTCGATCAAAAGCCTGTTCTACATCGAGAAAGACTCCCGTGCAGTACATTCCGCGCTCCAATGCAGAGGAGACAACATCCACCACACGATGGCATTGCTGGATAGTGGAATGGGATCTGCGGAATCCAAATTGATGATCTGGGATAATGTGATTAGAATCTAGGATGGGGTACAGGCGTTTTAGGATGAGCTTTTCCAGGATTTTGCCTAGGATGGGTAAAAGGGAGATAGGGCGATAAGAGGATGGGTTTTCTGGTGGCTTTTTGGGTTTATGTATCATTTTGATAATAGAGAATTTCCAAGGGTCAGGAAAGTATGTTGATCGCAGTACAGCATTATATATATAAGTAAGAAATAGAATGGCTTTCCGAGGAAGGAGTTTTAGGATCTGGGATGTAATTAGGTCGTGTCCAGGAGCTTTTCGGGAAGGTAACCTTTGAATGATGTCGGATATTTCTGAAGGATGAAAGGCTTTTGGTGGAAGAGACATTTGGAGTGGGATATCCAGTTCTGCTTCAATACATTCAAGGTGATTTGGGTTAAGAATATCGGGGTGTGGATTAAAGGTTTTAAAGAGGTGACGTGCAAAGATTTGTGATTTTTCTTCATCGGATTTTGACCAGGTTTGAGCTTCAGTAAGAAGCGGACGATTACAGTCTTTAAATTTCAGGAGCCTTTTAGTGGTCGTCCATAGTGATTTGTCGGTAGGTGTAAGTTTTTCAGTAAAATTTAATAAATTTTGAATTTTGTATTTTTTAATTTCAGATTTTAGTTTGTTAGTCAGTTGGGTATAATGAGTTTTATCTGTTGGATATCTGGTTCTATGCCACTTCGATCTTGCTCTGCGTTTTTCCTTCAATAAGATACGAATATGCTGTGGCAAGTCAGTCTTTTGTGAATTGTTAAACTTATTGATAAAAGTATTATTATTTATACTGTCTGTTATTGACGCTGTCAGTTTTTCAATGGCACCATTAATGTCGTCTTTTGTCTTTAGCGGAATTTTTAAGTCTAGTTTGCTATTAAATTTTAATTTTGTTTTATATATCCGTATAATGAGTTCCTAAATGTTTAGTGTCTGTTTTATAATTGACTATTGTTCTACTGTTTTTTGTGATGTGTATTGCTTCAAGTAATTTCCTATTGGTGTTTTTTGGTTCTGTGTCTAATATCTATGGTTTATTAAAGTTAAATTTCTGCTGTAATCTTATGCTGTGATGTGCTAAAGCTGTTGTGTTTATGTTTTTTGTATTTTTGCAGTTAGTAATAATAATAATAAAAGGCTTAGCAAACCCGAAGGTTCAATGCCGACACCACCAATTGCTTATTACACACCTCCCTCCACCGGTCGCTGTCCAAACCCAGTCCCTTCAGATCGGCTTTAATGCAATCTTCCCACCTTCGCTTCGGTCTGCCCCTCGGACGCTTACCATTCGGCACCGCACAAATTAACCTTTTAGGAATTCTCTCGTTACTAAGCCCAACAACTTTACAAGCCCATTTGATTCGCCGCGA